TTCCAGCTCTGTGAAAAGAGTTGATGGTATTTTGATAGGGATTGCATTGAATGTGTAGATTGTTCTAGGTAGCACAGACATTTTCACAATATTTGTTCTTCCAATCCATGAACATATAGAACGTTTTTCCATTTCTTTGTGTCTTCCTCAATTTTTTTCATGAGTGTTCTATAGTTTTCTGAGTACAGATCCTTTGCCTCTTTGGTTACATTTATTTCTAGGTGTCTTATGGTTTTGGTTACAATTGTAAATGAGATCGACTCCCTAATTTCTCTTTCTTCTGTCTTGTGGTGTATAGAAATGCAACTGATTTTGTTGCATTGATTTTATATCCTGCCACTTCGATGAATTCCTGTATGAGTTCTACCACCATTTCTTTTTTTTTGTTTGCATCAGTAAAGACATTAGGAAGCTCTTAGGTATTAGTAGTTCTCCCTCTGGTGTCAAATGAGAGCCTGGTTTTTATACATGGCTTCTGTTTGGCAACAGCCCAACTCATACTAAAAGTAATTTGGAGGTAGCAAGTGGAAGAGATAGTAATTAAAATTATGCTGGATTTTTGGTTTTGGTTTTATTTTATTAAGTCAATAAAATGGAATTCTGTATGATAGTTAATTTTGTTCTGAAGATAATTAGTTTTTGCCTATTTCTTACTGGAGAAATTTGCCAGTACCCCCCCCCCCCATTCCCTTCATTGTTTCCAGTATCAGCCACATCAGTCGTAAGTGTCATGGGAAAGATCTAACTACTGCTTTTTCAACATGGATTATAGCTAAACTATTTTCCTTCTCTGAGGTTAATTAGTAGGAGTGCTAAAGATGTGTTTTGACCTTTTATCATTTCTTTATTTTATAAGCAAACAGTATTTTTTAATACAGATTTATTATTTTTAAATCACCTCTTACCCCACAGGACACATCTGTTTTCACATCAAAATATTATGAAATATTATATTCCAAAGCTTTTTAATACATGTAAACTTTATATAATAAAAATGTATCATTCTAGTAGTAGTAGTAATAACAACTGTCATCTACTGAACTTTATTACTTGTGAGGCACAATTTTAACATCTGTATTTTCCCAACAACCCTGTCAGGTAGGATTTAATATTTTCTTAACGTCATAAGTGGGAAAGCTGAGTTGCTGAGAAACTGAACAACTTGCCCAGAGTCACCTAGCTAATAAGGGGCAGGTACAGATTTGAAACCAAGGCAGTCTGATTCTAGTTTGTAGGCTCTTGTTACTATTCCCTTAGCAACATATATCATGAACAGCTTCCATGTGAATAAACATGCATCACTAGCATTGTCTTGATAGCTGCAGGCGATTCCATTTTAGGGGCAAGAGAGTCAGTATAACCAATCTCCCATCTAGGTTGTTTCTGATTTTTCTATGATACAAACATTGCTGTGATAAACATACCGCTCTCTACTCTTCCCATGCCCGTCTTGTTCTTTCCTTAGATTACATTCCTGTGAATAGAATTTTTGGACCACATTGTTTGAGACTTTTATACAAATTTTCAAGTTGTCCTTCAGGAAGATTTTTTGAGCACTTCCATCAGAGTGTAAACTTCCTGATGTCACAAGTAATGATTCATAGTAAATTTTTGTCTCTTTGACACAGAGATAATTGTATTTATTGTTTTATAAGGTTAAACTTTTTTTCCTAAATAGTTATTGACATTTATATTTCTTAATTGGCGAATTATCTGTTCTTATCCTGTTTTATTTAATTTTTTTGGTGAGGGTGTATCTTTTTGTAAGTTTTTTTTGTTTGTTTTGTTTTTTTTAAATTTGAGAGAAAGCAAAACACAAATAGGGAGAGGGTGGGAGAAGGCAGAGGGAGAAGCAGATTCCCTGCTGAGCAGAAAGCTTGCCTTGGGGCTCCATCCCAGGATTCTGGGATCATGACCTGAGCCAAAGGCAGACGCTTAACCAACTGAGCTACCCAGGCACCCCGCGTGTATCATTTTTATTAAGAATACACTGTTGTATACATAAAGGATACCAAGTTTTTGTCATATATGATCAGATATTTTCCTCCAGAAATTTCCCATACAGATAAGTTGATTTTTTACATGTGAAAGTCTTGAATAATATAATAAAGAGGTTTTAATAAAAAGAGGCTCAGAAAATATATGACCTAATCTTTGCAAAAACAATTCAAGATGCCTTTCAGTCGTTGATAAATGATAGAAAATTAAGAGCTTACAAATAGGGAAGTCAATAAGGGATTATTTTTTAAAAGCTGTGTTTGTTAGTCCTTGAGTTCACTCCAAGAAATGCTTTATTTTCACGTGAACTAGAGACCACTTTTGCTTTTCATCTGTAAAAGTATCTTTATTAAGACATTTTTCTTTATAAATGAATTCATAGAAAAAAAAATCTCATTTCCAGAAATTTGACCTACACCCTACAACTGCCCCCAATGATGGATTTTTAAAACGGATTATAATCATGGGAGATGATTCTCTACCAACGGAGAGAATATTTTGTAACACTCTTTTGATACTTTTTAATGGCTGTCAAAGAGAAGATGGAGTCTCTAGAAATTAATTTAATTAAAAATTTTCCCTCCAGATTTAAAGAAATTTCATTTAAATTGTATGCTAAGTCTAATGCTTCAGAACTGTCTAGGACTTTGTATGATTTTAAATAACTTCATTTACAAAGGAATTTATTCTAAAAAAAAAATTATGTTCAGTGAAGACAAAAGCTTCCCCCACCCCTGCCCCGTCCATTTCTTTTTTGACTTCATAGAGGAAAATGACAAAGGCTATTTTGGGGACAAGATTCCCAACAGAAGAGAATCCTCTGGCAGCAAGAATAAACAGCTTTGGCAGAAAAGCCCCCTCCAAAGGAAAAAGACTTTGGCTTGTTCAGACTAGGGAGTGGTGATGAGCCCCAAGACAAAAAGGATATCCCTGGTACAGGGGCTGGGTCAGTACCAGGCTGATTGGGTGGAAACTCTACTGTTACAAAAGCTCCTTAGAGCGGCTTCATAAAACATTGATGTTTTGAGATGCACGGCTTCTCCAGTCGTCTAGGGAGGATCAGTTACATTCCAAGGAAGTGATTCTATTTTACTCTGGTCCACATTGGTCCCTTTGGCCTTTGATACAATACTGGTAGTAGTAGTAGTAGTAATGATAATAAATAAAATACAAATCCTACAAACCTGGGTTATTGACCCTTTTCCCTTCATTTTTCAGAAAATAAATCCCACATCTCCAGAAGTGGATTAATGATTAATTTGAAGGGATTTTAAAATGCTTTGAAATCCTTTTATGGTTGCTGTACATACAGAAAATACTTTTTTATCCATTATATTTCTGGGGTGAGTATGGATGTGTGTATGCATACTCACATATTTAGCTTACATTTTCAAGGTGATGTTTTCAGTAAAAGAAATTGCTTGTTGTTTGAATAAATACACTTGGGAAGATGAATAACGAGCCAGCCATTCCAACCACATGTAATTCCACTTGCAATTGTGTGTGGCTTTGCTGATCTGGTTTGGTTGGATATGATATTCATAAAGGTCTAGTGAGGCGGTTAGAAAACTCAACTACTTGACTCAACCACTGAGCATTTGTTTCCTTTGATGCCAGGTTGCTGGTGGTAGAAATAGTGGGTGGAATGGTTTCAGAGATCTCCATATGCTTTCTTCCAGGGACAGAAAATAGAACTGCCCCAATGCAAAGTCTCTTTTCTCACTTATTCAATCAACAAATTTTTACTGAGTATCTACTATATGCCACACAGATTTGTTTTCTGTGTTATTCCTTCGTCACAATCCGCTCCTTGCCAAAGTCTTCAATTTCCCCTCCCTTTGCACAATCCCAGCAGACACACAGGGTCGTTTTGCTACCTAAAAGTTTGGATCTTTCCCACATGGAAAATCAAGTCCTGTATCCCTTCCCTTGAAGTCCCTGCTAAGGTGGTGTTTTATTTATAATATCCCCTTTTCTTCCGCAAAAAATAAATAAACCCCAAGATGGAAAGGTATTTTAGAGAAAAAAGAAGAGACTATGGGTGTTTTCTCATATTACTTCATACTTATAAATGTTTTAATGGCTGGGTATTATTCTATTGTATACCTTAGTTGGTTAACATTTAGTCAAAACAAGGTTCACAATTTGGATTTATTTCCTTAGGGCAAAATACAAAGTTATTGTTTACACACATTTGTAAAACCCTTAATACAAATTGCTAAACCACTTATAGAGAGTTTATAGGAACTTACAGTCCCATTAAAGTTCTATTTACTGTTCATATAATGGTATCCTTAACCTCACTGAAGGCTAAAAATTTTTTAAATCTTCACTGATTGTTTTTAATTTACATTTTTTATTACTAGTGAGATTGGACATTTTTCACATGCTTATTAGGCAGTTTTTGTTTCCCTCCCCTGAGCTGTCTGTATATGTCCTTTGTCTATATTTCTATTAAAGTTTTTATAGCCTTCTTATTCACTTGTATGGACTTACTTCATCTGAAGGGTGTTAATATTTTGTCTTTAGTATTTCTTGATCACATTTGGGCAAAAATCCCTCCAATCACATTATTTGTGATCACTTAGAACAGGTAATGTGTTTTGTTCAATGAGATGAGATCAGCTTTATATCATTTTATGTAGGAGGTGGAATTCAATGTCTAAAAATCAATACACACTTTAGAGCATAGTAAGGACCGCATCTTTTCTAGAAACTTCTATCAAAGGGAGAATGTATAAGAGTTAAATTATGAGGGGCCTTAGTCTTATCGATAGGCCCATTTGTATTCTTACTGCATTTGACGTGTGGCCCCTGTGCTGTGCTTATTACAAAATTATGAAATCTGTGCCCAGACTAGCATCTTGACACAGGTAATGAGCTACTTTGGAATTTACCAGATTCCAGATAAAGTTCTAGTCATTCTTCATTCCCATACCTGTTTCCCATACATCTAAGAGGCCCTGAATAGCAGTCCTCATATGTTCTCCTTTTTCTTTTAGACAGTTCTTCCTCAGTCCAGGAAGATGAAGAGGTAGAGATGGAGGCTATCAGCTGGCAGGCCAGTAGTCCAGCCATGAATGGACATCCTGCCTCTCCAGTAACCTCTGCTCGTTTCCCCAGCTGGGTCACTTTTGATGACAATGAGGTCAGCTGCCCTTTGCCACCAGTCACCTCTCCCCTGAAGCCAAACCCACCACCTATTGCATCTGTGACCCCAGATGTACCTCATCACTCAGCTGGGTCATTTAAGAAGAGGGAACGTCCCAAGAGCACTTTGATGAACTTTTCCAAAGTTCAGAAACTGGACATTTCATCCTTAAACCATCCACCTTCCATAATGGAGGCTCCACCTTGGAGGGCAACCAATCCTTTCCTGAATGAGACTCTGCAGGATGTCCAACCCTCCCCTATCAACCCTTTCACTGCTTTCTTTGAGGAGCAGGAGAGGCGCTCCCAAAACAATTCCGTTTCCAGTGCCACAGGCAAGAGCCAAAGGGATTCTCTCATTGCCATCTACCAGGATGCTATCTGTTTTGATGACTCAAGCAAAACCCAGTCCCACTCTGATGCTGTTGAAAAACTCAAGCAACTCCAGATTGATGACCCTGATCCTTCAGGCAGTGCGACGCTACCAGATGATGACCCCATAGCCTGGGTTGAACTAGATGACCACCCACCTGGTTCAGCACTGTCCCAGCCCAGAGATGGGTGGCCAATGATGCTAAGGATCCCTGAGAAGAAAAACATCATGTCGTCTAGGCACTGGGGACCCATCTACATCAAACTAACAGACAGTGGTTACCTGCAGCTGTATTATGAGCAGGGTCTAGAAAAACCATTCCGTGAGTTCAAGCTGGAGATCTGCCATGAAATTTCGGAACCCCGGCTCCAAAACTATGACGAGAATGGCAGGATCCACAGCTTACGAATAGACCGTGTCATCTACAAGGAGAAGAAGAAATACCAGCCCAAACCTGCTGTGGCCCACACAGCAGAGAGGGAACAAGTGATTAAGCTGGGCACCACCAATTATGACGACTTCCTGAGTTTCATCCGTGCTGTTCAGGACCGGCTCATGAATCTGCCGGTGTTGTCAATGGACTTGAGCACAGTTGGCTTGAACTACCTGGAAGAGGAGATTACTGTGGATGTCAAGGATGAATTCTCTGGCATTGTGAGCAAAGGAGACAACCAGATTCTCCAGCACCATGTCTTGACGCGGATCCACATTCTGAGTTTCCTCTCTGGGCTGGCAGAGTGCCGCCTGGGTCTCAACGATGTCCTTGTCAAAGGGAACGAGATAGTTTCCCGGCAAGACATCATGCCCACCACCACCACCAAGTGGATCAAGCTCCATCAGTGCTGTTTTCATGGGTGTGTGGATGAGGACGTGTTCAGCAGCTCACGGGTTATTCTGTTCAACCCTTTGGATGCCTGCCGCTTTGAGCTCATGCGTTTCAGGACAGTATTTGCAGAGAAGACCTTGCCTTTCACACTCAGGACGGCAGCAAGCATCAACGGGGCGGAGGTGGAGGTGCAGAGCTGGCTCAGGATGTCAGCCGGCTTCTCCTCTAACCGAGACCCTCTCACTCAGGTTCCCTGTGAGAATGTGATGGTTCGATACCCCGTGCCCAGTGAGTGGGTGAAAAACTTCCGCAGGGAAAGCGTCCTGGGGGAAAAGTCTTTAAAAGCCAAAGTGAACCGGGGGGCGAGTTTTGGCTCAGCCAGTATGTCTGGCTCTGAGCCTGTCATGAGAGTAACTCTGGGAACTGCCAAGTATGAACATGCCTTCAACTCCATTGTGTGGAGGATAAACCGACTGCCTGACAAGAACTCAGGTAGGTAGAGGTTTCTCTTCTGTGAAAACTGCCGCATGAGTCACAGGAGAGCTGGGGTCAGAGTTCTGCATTCTGTTCCCCTATGAAGGCTTGGCTTTTGTTGTGTGACAGAAATATAGTAATGGAGAAGTGAGACCAGAGAAGCAAAAACACTTGAGAAAAAAGTAAGTAACAAACATGAATGGCCCAGTTTACTCCATTTTCTCCTTTATTATCTAATTCTAGAAAACTCTGCGTTCTTCTCATCTGAGCTGCTAAGCAGATTGCGGGGCAACTTATGAATTTGTATGCTTTTTCTGACTCATTTACGCATTCTCTGTGCTTCCGGAAACTATCTCCAGATCCTAAAAAGCCTCTGGTTTTGAAGAGGTAGCTTTCCCGCTGTGCCCTGAGTGTAGGTAGAGGGGTGCAGTTTCTGGCCAGTCATAAATGCAGTACGGGTGAGGAGTCAGACTCATGATGCCAGTCCCCCTGTGCGAGACCTGTGTCAGTCATTACATCTCCAACTCAGAGCTGGGATTTTGAGGATGGGGCAAAGGAGAAATGGCCTCTGATCAGACTGAAGGTCCAGCCAGGACCAGAAGGTCCAAAAGGGCTGAAATTCTATCAGATACAAAGTAAAGGAAGGCGTGTTTGATCTAAACAAAGAAAGCAAGCTTACCGGCCCTCGCTGCCTTGCTCACAGCTCTCAGGGAGGCTTTTGTGCTTGAGTGAACACGGAAGGTGATGACTTTCCTTAGGGGTCCAGGGAATTTAGCGAAATGACAAAACTAGAGAGTAATCCAACAGGCTCTGATAGTCTTATTTCTTAGAGGAAGTCTGCATGACCCCAATGACGGGCAATAAGCCCACGATCCTATGATCCTTTCAACCACTTCTTGTTTATTGTAAACTTCGCCTATTTGTTAACAGAAGTAGTTATGCTAGCCAGGCAAAAAGGATAAGGTTGGGAAGAACTCTACCCTTCTGCAGATAGCCTTCTTCCATTCTCACTCTTAAACCCTGATAGTACGTTTAGAGTCTCCATTTCCTGCTCTGAGTGTGGAGTGGCTGTGTCATCCTACCCAAAATGGGACATGATGTGCCTGCAAGAAGCAGGACGATCAGGTCACCTCCCCAAGCTGTCCAGGCCCTGCACACACACCGGGGCATTCTGTGTCAGACACTGTAGCCCAGTGCGAAATGAAGAGACAATTGGACCTCTGTGCTGGAGGCCGGACTTGCCAAACACCCCCACCCCCACCCTGGTTTCCAAACTGACAGGGTTTTTTTTAAAAAAACAAAGTCTCCCTCTCTGGGCCTGCTTATGCATTTCTCCTGACATCAGCACTGTATTCTCCTGGTGATAGCACTGTGACCTCCACCTCAGCCATAGGACCTATCTGAATTGACGGGTCTGAAAGGAAAAGCCCTAAACTCTCCTTCAGCACAGAAGCCCTTGAGAAGAGAAGTGAAATGGAAGGCGGGGGAGTGACTGTTGAACCTGCTGGGGACTTGCCCTCCAAAAGACAAGACCTCAGGTTTATGTTTATCAGAATGTTTGGCCCTTCAAGTTTGTTAAGTGTGGATTCAGATAATTTCGTTAAGAAATAACTGAGTCTTCAAGCTGGAAGGGACCTTGGCGATAACTCAGTCAAACCTCTTCACTCTATAGATGAGAAAATTAGGGACCAGGAGCAACATGACTTATCTGAAGTCACGAAGCCACATCCAGGGGTCTTTTCTTAATACCCCAGCTGCCTCTTGGTAGAGGACACAATAGACACAAATGTGAAAGTATTTCTTCTAAGAGAAGAGAGGTTTGTGGTTTTCTCAGTGTGTGCACATCTATCTCGTTTGTTTCAAAGTTCTTGCTCTCAAATATTTAACAGTTACGGTATGAGAGGGTTTTGGTGATAAGCAGCAAAGACAACCAAGAAAAAAAAGATTGTTGGAGGGTAGCTTGGAGAACTGAAGGAAAGCTTGGAACAGTTGAGCCCGCAGGCTTAGAAAGGACTGCTCTGGAAAGCAGAACTGAGAGGCGTCTCCTCAGGCTGCAGCCGTTGGAATCAGTCATCACAGCCACTTTCTGCCCCTGCGTCACTTGGCTCAGGAGTCAAGGGGAGGATAGCACATTTAGACTGACATGACATGCAGTGCTGGGGAAGATTATTTCCCAAAGCAAAGGTGAGGGGAAGGACTATGACCAGAAGTGGGGGAGGTGGTGGTTGCAGGACAAGGGACAAGGGAAGATATAGGTCTTCAGCAAACCCCTGACTTAATGCTTCCCAGCAGGTTAGTGTTCAGTAGGCTCACGGCCAAGGAAATGCAGATGATGTATTGCAAATGTATTTCCTGATTACTGGAACCTTTATTTGTGAAAGATTTTTGAAATACAGGACAGTCTAAGGATATTTGGGAATGTTTCTCCCTTAAGCTATTCCCCCATCACTGCTTTTGCTATTATATCATGGTTACACGTTATTTTATTTTATTAAATATTTTTTTTTATTTTTCAGAGAGAGGGAGAAAAAGAGAGCATAAGCAGGGAAAGTGGCAGGCAGAGGAAGAAGCAGACTCCCTGCTGAACAGGGAACCTGATGCGGGGGGCACGATCCCAGGACCCTGGGACACCTGACCTGAGCCAAAGGCAGGCGCTTAACCGACTGAGCCACCCTGGCATCCTGGTTATACATTTTTAGTAACAACCCCCATCCACACACCCAAAAAGGGCTTCTTCTACTCCTGGCCAATGGTATATTTCTGGATAGGTTCCAGAAATTGGTAAGACCCTTTTCTGGAAACCTGAGAGGTACAGGATCTGAATTTCAGTCAGACAGCGGGTTCTTAGCGTTGCCGGCACTCCGGGTGACCAGCTCCTGCTCCCCAATCCGGTGTGCCCTCCGTTAGTTGTCATCCCTTTTCTGAGCTCATCTTGGTCTTCAATCAGCCTTGGATGGTATATTTTGAAGGTGATTTTTTCATAATTCTCGCACCTCCATTTAGCAGAGAAGGAGACCAGACCTCTACATGCTTACTCCTGCCTGCAGCCGGCAGGGCTGTCAGACCATAGGCAGCCCCGGACCCGCGGGTCAGCACCCCTGACTTGCTGCAGCCACAGCAGGCTTCTCCTAGTCCTGCTACCAAACGGTTAACAAGCTGCTGTTGGAGTCCAACATGGTTTAAATGGGCAGGTCCAGCCCAGCCTTATGCATGTTCGGCGGCCCCTGCCTTCCCACCGGGCTCTTAAGGACCCTTTTCGCCCTGATCCCAAGAGCTTTTCTAAGTCTTAGAAGGCAGCAGAACAAGGCCTACTGCTTGCCCAAGTTATCCGCCTGGAAACAAAACATGCTGTCTTGCATAGGTAGCTTTCTTTGCTGGAACTCCAGTTCTCTAATATTAGATCAAGAGAAAACAATTTCAGTAGATTTTGCCTTTTATGGAAAATAGAAATCTGAATTTTAATGTTAAATTTTCTCAACTTCATCAAGGAAGATGACAAAATGCGTGGGCTCACATAGTTCATTACCATAAATTAGACGACACTAGCTCTCAGAATTGCATTTTCCTACCTGTCCACCAGCCCTACACATCTGTTGATTGATGCTGGTAATCATGAAAGAATGCCACATTCATAGAGTTTGCTGTGAATGTACTTTGGAGGGGTAAGCGGAGAGGTCAGCTTTGTGGAAAGTAATGATTCCTCATTATTCCAACACTGTGCACATAAGGACAATTAGATAAAACTGTTGTTCAAGTTGCCATTGATTACAAGTAAGAAACTCCTCAATGTAATTTGTAGTGATCTAAATCCATAGCAATACACAGAGAGGAGTTTAGGACATAATTCGGTGTCAGATCTGAGTTTTATTCCTAGTGCTGCATTTTAGTAGCTTTGTGACCTCGGCGATTTACTTAAACCTCTCAAAGAAATCTTAACTTCCTCATTTACAGAAGAGGGTTATTAATACCTAACTCATTAAGAAAGAAATTAGATAATGTCTTTAAGTGTTTAGGACAATCTCTGGCCTGTAATAAATGTAGCAGATAGCTATGTAATTACAACTGTAATTTAAAAAAAAAAACACGGATTCATTTTTAGATAATGTAATTTTTACTATTATGTGTATCCAATTTAAAATTTTTTTCCTAGAAACCATTGCAAATTTCTCAGTTTTCCAGAGTTTTACTCTTTAGAATTAACCACTGAACTATGTTATTTGTCAAGTAGAGCAAAACATGTACTTCACTCTGTAATGTTTTCCTTAGAGAGTGGGTGTGTATGTCCTCACTCGCTGAGATTAGAAAGTCCTGCCCAGATCAATAAAGAAAATTGCAATTGTTTATTTGGGGAAACTCCTTTAACTAAGGGTCGTTGGTATTATATAATGAAGCCAAAGCCATGTCACGTTGTTTATCCATGGCAAGTTGCTGTACGGAGGTTCCTACAGCTCACTTCTCCACTCATGTCACCCTGCAAACCTGGTTTTGGGGTTGGGGACTCTGTGGGGGGCTGTGACTCAGACAGAGTGGTTAAAACACCTCCGGGTTAGAGTGCTTGGGTTCAGTCCTCAGTCCGCCACTTTCCAGCTTTGACCTTGGCTCGTTTACTTTCCCTCCCAAAGCTTTTGTGGCCTCATCTGTAGAACGTAAAGACTGTGATCTCAAGGGATTGTTGCAAAGATGCAGGGAGAGGGTGTGCGGGCAGCATTTGAGATACTAGAGTGCTCAGCAAACCATCCTTTCAGAGGTTATAGCCACAGAACTGATCTGTCTTTTCACACACATATCTAATAACAGCCCTCAAATGGAAAACCTTAAGTTTTCCATCCAAGTACAGTAGAACTAGCCATAGATGTATAGAATTAGAGAACAGCCAGGGACTCTGCCTGGCATTGTCTAGCCCACCCTTTACCACCCATCTCCCATTTCCCCAGTTCCCAAGTCAGGATTTGAGGCGAAGGAGAACAAAGGACTTGGGTGCAGGATCTCTACCACTTCGGGGGAGAGCTGGGAGTCACACGCAGTGTCCTGTTAGTCTGCATCCTACCCAGTGCATCATGTCCATCCTTCATGTGTCTGTGCTGTTTCTAAGGGCTTTGTCATTTACAGATGCCATTACCCACACCAACGTGCCAAAGCATTTTTGTAAAAAGACGAGATGTTGTTGAGAAAATTCGCCTTTCAAAGGGAATTGATTCTTTGGCTCCATGTAGCTGTCATTGATGTTTTATTCGTTGCTAAGTGCTGCTCCCTTTTAATCCTTTCTGTCAATCTATGGATCTATGCCTTTATTTCTGGTATTCATGCTGTGTTCCCATATCACCCTGACCTCAGCGGGCAGAGTGACCCGTTTTTCAGGCTGTGGGTTTTATTGCTAGGATAAAGGCCACTGTAATCAGATAGTTCTAGCAAAGGGTCTGAAGCACAGGCACTGTGATTTCTGTGGAAGGAAATGCTCAGCCCTGGATCCCCAGAAAGACTGCCCGGTGCGGAGCCTGGAGGCAATCTTCAAGGCCTTTTTTGTTGTTGAGGTGCCTCTGTGGGCCTCTCCTTCCATGGCTCTCCGAAGAACCTAATGTCTGGATTTTTTCCCTTTCATAGCTTCTGGTCACCCTCACTGTTTCTTCTGCCACCTTGAACTTGGCTCTGACCGGGAAGTGCCTTCCAGATTTGCCAGTCACGTGAATGTGGAGTTCAGCATGCCCACAACTTCTGCCTCCAAAGCCGCTGTGAGATCCATCTCCGTGGAAGACAAGACTGACGTCAGGAAGTGGGTCAATTATTCCGCACACTACAGCTACAAGGTAGCCTCGGGAGGCATCTTGCTAATGTGTCCAAGACCGTTTGTTTATCCCTCCACCATCCCCCCTCCCCACCCTCCATGCCCCATCTTGTTCCTTTTAGCGATGCCTGCCCTGGATACAATGTGTTCTCTTACTGCCTTAGAGACAGGTGTGCCACACGCGGCTGTGGGTGAGTCTGCTGTGATTTGAATGACTAATCTCTAGTAAGCAAGAGAAAGGTTGGGAAAAAATAAGAGGTGGATGAAAGAGGAGAGTATAATGTCTTTCAGTCATCATGAACAACATCAAAAGAGTCATGGGGGCACGCCTGGGTGGCTCAGTTGGTTAAGCGGCTGCCTTCGGCTCAGGTCATGATTCTGGGGTCCTGGGATCGAGTCCCACATTGGGCTCCCTGCTTAGCAGAAATACTGCTTCTCTCTCTCCCGCTGCCTGCTGCTCTGCTTACTTGTGCTCTCTGTCAAATAAATAAATAAAATCTTAAAAAAAAGAAAGTCATGGAGTAAAGGGATTATTATTAATCTGTAACATTCTGTATTATTAATTGTACACTATAAATAATATGAATATTATGAATGAGTAGATATATGAATATTATGAATGAGTATATCATAATATCATATTCTCATTCATAATATGTGTTGCAGAAGTTGTGAACTTGGAAGGTGGAGGAGAATTCAGGAAAGTGCTAACCCAAAGTATGTGTTTCGGCTTCAGAGTTGATGATGTAGATCCGTGTAAAATCGGGACACATATGACCTGGTCACAGGGCTATAGAGGACAAAATTCAGAAGCCAAGCAAGCTTCTGTAACAGGATCCGGGCTGTGGGAGGAGGAAACAAAATTGGAGAGTTCAGACATGGTCATTCTGTCTTGAGGTGTTAGAAATTCAATAGCAGATTAAATGTCAAAGACAGAAAGTGGGGGTTATTGAAGAAGTATTTTGCAAAGTGGTTTAATAATTTTTTATTCTTAATAATATCCTTAGATTTTTATGGTTTGTTTTTCTGTAAATATTTCCTTAGTTGTGTCATCTACAATCTTAAACTACCAAAAAGAACAAATCCTCCATCTTGTGGCCAAAAAAAAAATAGCATTTCATCAAGCGTGGGCCTAGTCCACTGCTTGAATTGTTTCCTTTGTCATAAATATCCAAAGTGGTAAAGAGAGGAGCAGCTTTAACTGTGAGACTCTCTTACTTGATGTACTTATTTTCTGACTTGTCAAAGGCTTCAGTGTGTGTCTCTTTCAAGGCAAGATGAATTTATTAATCCTTTTAGTTACAGCTACCACATTTTGCTGAAAACACAGGTAGAACCGTAAACAAGACAATACTTGACCAGTTTGGAGACTTTGGGTTTTTTGTTTTGTTTTGGTTTTTTGTTTTTAGATTTTATTTATTTATTTGACAGAGAGAGATCACAAGTAGGCAGAGAGGCAGGCAGAGAGAGGGGAGAAAGCAGGCTCCCTGCTGAGCAGAAAGGCGATGCAGGGCTCGATCCCAGGACCAGTTTGGAGACTTTGTAAAGCCATAAAGTAATAGAGAGTATAAACAGATGGCTGGAGAGGAATCCATTCATTTGATAAACCTTTATGCTTGCTCAGCGCATGCCTGCATTATGGGGATACAGTAGTCAACAAGGGCCTGCTCCTGTCCCATGGAGCCTGTGGAATGCTGGAGCCAGGTTCATGTACCAGGGACAGTGGAGATATGGATAGGAGGAGCACCTGATGACTTGAGGACAGCTTCACAGAAGAGGTGACCTTTGAGCAGCGTGCAAGGCAAAGAATAAAAATTTTCCAGGTGGACTGTGAAGAAGAGGGAATTCCAGACCCAGCAAAAAGCATGTGCCAAGAGAGAACCATGCCGTCCTCCGGGCGAGAGTAGCTCCAGTGTGGCCAAAGCTCAAAATAGTGACAAAATTACAGGGAATCTCCTGGTGAGGTATTCTCTTTGAGATTACTTCTTATTGGGATGGTTTTTCTCCTTTGTGATATTTCTTTCCAACTTCTACTCTCGACAGGTGGAAATTGAGCAGAAAAAGAATTTGAAGCCAGATTTTGAAGGAGATGAAATGGAAAATCCCAAGGAGTGTGGGGTCCAGTGATGAAGCCCTTTTGCGGGAGGGGCCTGACCCAAGCATCATGACAGGATGTCTTCCTGAGCAGCTGGAGTTCAAGGCAGTACCTACCATGGCTACTCCTTACTGGAACAGTATGTTGGACTTTCCTCTTTGCGGTTACCTGTAATCTCACAGGAAACCTTGAGGTGACTGCTTTGGAGAGACTGATATGCCTGAAGCAGGTGGTTTCCCTGACTTCTGGAGCTTGTTGTCTAATTAAGCCTCCTTCTCTTTGCTCTGTTGATCTCGTAGCTCTTGAGTGTGGCTTGTTGTGACTACTGGAGTTAGGAAGAGAACCTTCCACATCAGTGTTGGCAGGATTTCCTTCTGGTGTTCATCTGTCACTTCCATGATTTTCTAGAAAACACAGTCTTGAGAATCCCCCTCTGTCATGCCCTCTAGAAAAGGTTCAGAAGAGGTACAAAACATATTTCCTTTTTGGGTCTACTAGGCCTTTGGTACATGTCTCTATTCTTGCAATGTTAACGCTATGCAACAGAAGTTTTCGAGACATTTCCCTCCTGGTTTGGGATCGTTTTGATGAAAACACTTTTTCCATCTCTCTAGTCCCAGGATTCACCACGCTGAGTCATAGTAGACAATGGAAAAAGGCACAACAGGATACTTTTTTATTCTGTGATTAGCCCCATATTTGGCAAAGGGTGGCTATGAAAGGGAAAGCAAAATTGAGCTTAGTTTTCTTGATTCTGGGGGAAAAGAGACATTAATTATAAGATTATATTCAATTCAGGAGACATTTTCAATCTCAATGAATTCCCAAATTCACACTGAAAAACATAGGCCATTTCCGATTCCTGAAACAAATGGATATATGTATATATATATATATTATACCTCAGGCATTTGTCAGGAGCACTTGGGAGCGCTTTTCATACCTCAAGCCTATAGACAGTTGCATGTCTCTTTGACTCAGACTTTACATGGAATATAAGTGGAAAAGATCATTTTAAGAGCTGTTTTAAAACTGAACTTATATGATCTTTTCCCTAAAATTCAGAGTTCGATAATCACAGTATTGTAACAGATCTACAAGGCAGAAGTCTCTAGGGTAGAAATGGGGGAAAGCCATATTTTTCTAATGTTGAGAATATTAGTCCCAGTCCCAAGAGTCTAGGACACTCAATTTTCTTTCTCTTCATATGGTCCCATTTACATTCTGTACCTCCACTTCTTACTTGTATCTTGATGTTTTCTTACCATACACGGACCTATATCGGCCATCCCAAATGGGACACCTGCCCAACAATTTATAGGTAGGCTCTAAATGCCTATTTCTCCCATGAAGAATACAGTGAGGGGACAGAAGCATGCTTGTCAGATTTGTCAGATGACACAGAGAAATAAATGATATATCCTGTTTCAACTGGCAGATTTAGGATTAATTTATTCAATGAATATTCATTGAATTATAACTATGTACTGACACTAGAATATAGACATCATCACCATTTTTTTAAAATACCTGAACATAAGACTGAAACTAAAAGGATGAAATTCAGTAGACATTAGTAAGAAACTATATTCTAGTTGCTTAAATGCAACCCTCTAAATACAGAGAGGTGGTGGGAAGGGTCCTGAAAAGTCCTGGTTTCATAGCAGTTCACGTCAAAATAGGAGTTCATTGTTGAATCAGGAGTGCATCATGATTATTCACAAAGTCAGTGCGTCAGCCTGTGGTAACAAAAGCCCAGGGAGCCCTGCATGCTGCATTGGTCAGTCCACTTCTGGATGGAAGGCTGAGTTCCATTCTGGGTACCATATTTTATGAAAGACATTAATAAATTTTGTCCAGAGGTAGGTGATCAGGGTTGTGAAGGGTCTGATGATATAAGGAGCAGGGGAATAGAATAGGAGAGAACAAAATAATATCGCTGCCTTGAAATTTCTGTTGAGTTTTAATAAAAAGGAGAGGAATTAGACTTACCCTGTGTAATTTCAAAGGGCAAAAATAGGAACAAAGAGGAACTTTCTAGATGACAGATGTTTGCTTCAACATAAAGAATTTTCTATTAAGAGTGGTTCTAAAGAGGAATAGACTTGAGCAGTAAAATTTCCGGTTGTGGCAAATGCCCAAACAAAGGTTAAAATAACCATCAGTCCCAGATGCTATGAGAGGGACATTGGATTTGGGCTGGATGGCTACCAAGATCCCTTCTGAATATAGGTTCATCTCAGTAGTAACAGCACTCTCTAACTCTAGTTGTTTTTTCTTTGATAAGTGGTTTTGTATGCTCTTTGAAATACAGTGGGGCTCCCTGGAGGTCTTTGTCAAGTGAGGCATAGTCCTTCCCCTGTTGTATGAGAGATACATGAGATTCCTCATAAAAACATCAAGGTGGACTGAAGAACTGGCAAGGTGAAGGTCATTCTGGCACCTTCCTTACTTAGGGTTAGTGCCTGTGCACCCTCTCAAGATCTCTGCCTCACCTGCTAGCATCGCGTGTGTATTGCTTATTGAAACTTTTTCCCCCACCATAGTTAATTCTTACTGCCTTTGTGCTTTTACCTGGGCTTTTTTTTTTTTTTTTTTAAACCAACGCTTGGGAAAATCCCTTCCATGCTATCTACATTCAACAAGCAAATTATTATTAATTAAAAAAAAAAAACTATCACCTTGATTTCATCAAATTTGCTTTCCCACTAGTATTTTTGGGAAACTAATTATGGGTAGCATTTAGGGGTTTGGGAACTACAATACTATATATGTTAGGCCTAGTGTTTTGTTAATAGGCTACCTAGAAAACACAGTTAGGAAAATTGCCTTTTTGATGTGCGAATTCTAAGTTTGCCTCTGGACCTGGATTGTGTTTATGTGTGGTCACAAAAATCCTTGTCTGTGTTAGCAATAATGTGAAATGAAAACTAAGTTCATTTTACCAATACATAGTATTATTATTAGAACATAAATTAGATGTCACATGATATTAAGAGCTATGCTTTCTTCTGAGTCCAGTGGCTTGCTTTGTGACTTTATTGTAAAAGAGGATAAGAAATGTACTCATTATGATAGGTCAAAGGAGAATGAAGTTAAGATATTTGGGGGGGGCATTAAAAACCCCCTTTGCCACTCTTATAATACTAGTTATTTCTTATCAAAGTTTTGCATTTCACTTATATTAAATATTATCAGGACAAATTTTTTTTTTCTACTTGGGTCTTTCCCCGCTCTCAGCATTCCTGCATTATTGGCAGAACTCAGAACTCTTGAGAACTTTTTTTATGTAATGTATTTCTATTTGAAATGGGACTAATTTCTATTCAAATCCAGTGGGTGAGAGCAAGAGTTTATTTCCCTAGAAATCAGTGCCCCCAAGAAATATGATCCATGATGGCAAAGAATGTATCTTGTTCTTTGTTTCCTGTACCTAGGACAAAGCTTGGGAGTATAATAGGTTTCAGCCACTTTAAATCCTTGCTGATAGGACAAACATATATTAATGAAATATAAGGAAGTTATTAGGGGGTGCCTGGCTGGCTCAGTTGATACAGCATGCCGCTCTTGATCTCGGAGTCCTGAGTTCCAGCCCCACGTTGGGTGTAGAGCTTACTTTAAAAAAAAAAAAAAAGAGAGAGAGAGAGAGAGAGAAATTATTAGGTATTCTGTAAGTGCTGAATGAACACTGACCCTGGAACTCTAAGATACTTAACCCTTACTTATCATCAGATACTTATATTAAAGCAAGCAAGCATGCTTTATTTCGTGGAAGACTTAATTTTTTTTTTTTATTCCTGCTTCCCCTGTCAACCAATAGCTGTCAGCACTTAACATGCAGCTGAATTTAAACTACAGTTTACTTTACTCATATTGAAAAACATTTTTGTGCCCAAAATACAATAGCACAGATGTTATCCATAATGAAGTTTATTGACACAATTTTATTTCTGCAAGCCAGATCTTGATCAGACAGATCTTGCCCATTTGAATAGCCAGCAGGAGAAGAAAGCATGGCCGGTCTTGATGTGTGAGGTCCTTGTTTTCCCCCAACAGTAAGCACTGACTAACATTACTGGGTACTTCCTTTGTCACCCTATGAAGATGGAGGTCAGAGAGTAAGAATGAAATTTGTGAAATGAAATCATGATTTCACGGCTGCCTTCAGTCTCATTATAAGATTAGTGGTAGGAAAGCACAGGATGATCTGATTTTTTTTTTTTCTTAAAAGCCTTGGGAATATTAAATTAGAGTAGGAAGCACTGCCACCTCGCCTACTTTTAGAATTCTCCCACATTTAGAATTTCTCCCACTTGAGGCTGTTAACTTTAACTCTTCTACAAACAGTGATCATGGTTAATTCTAGCATTTCTAGAGTTTAGATCATGTTAAGAATGCAGTTTACCAAAAAATTTGAACAAAACTGACCCAAAAGATTATACCCACCAAAAAATATCAGCTAGTATAAGCAAATCATCTTTAACACCTTATACCAAGTCCCATCCAAACTATGACCACTCTTTATTCAACATCAGCCGTGGCATTCTCACCAGATTTTAAAGATGTTTCCTATACATTACCACTATTTAAGTGCCAATTCCCTACAAATCACCATTTCTTCATCATTTTTTAGTTGTGCTATTTGTAAATGAAACTTGCTTTGGATATTGTGACTTGTATTTATGTATTTAAGGAATTAAAAGTGAACAAGATTAGAAAATAAACATATCAGTAATATTTTCCCATGTATTAACTAAAAGAAGGACTATGTAATTTTCACATTTCTTCTAGTGTGCCTTAGTGAATCTGCTTGAGAGTCTAGATTTTTGTTTTTCTTTTAAGAATTGAGGGGGTGGGGGAAACACAACTCTGAACTTGGAATTTCAGGTCTGTAAAGACAGAAATTATCCATAATAATGTATTTGGTACCTGGACAGAGGAAAACAATAACTGTGTATACTGAAAAGCTATAAAAGAACAGACTCAAAAATTAGAATTTCAGTATGAAAAGACAAAGTGTAGAGAGGTGACAAATAGAGCACTGGCCACCAAACCTCAAAATACTTGAACTAGAGAGCATCCCTTAAAGGAAGGAGCTCTAGGAAAAATAAAAGATTATGTAGTGGGGCTAAACAGTAGAATGATTTCAGTTCAAATGTTTATCAAGTGTCTACTCTGGTCCAATATCCGTGCTGTCAGCCAGCTTCCTTAAAAGGAGGTAAGGTCAAAGCCAAGGACACTGAGCATTGTTGATGTGAAGTCGTTGGAGGGATTGCCCTTTATCAAGGGAAAATTAGAGTTTCTATGAAGCTTTGAAGGGCATAGTCATGGAAACAATCACCATGTGAAGTAACTTGCTGTTTTCACAACTGGACCTCAGTAACCTCAGCTAAAAAAGTGAAAAAGCTGAACTAATGGTCCCTGCCAGCTCCAGTTTTATGGATTATTTTATAAAAGAGCCTTTGGTGCCATTGTTCATGATACTTCATGTCTGTAGGACTCTTCATGTAGTCTCAAGAACCAAGAACCAATATCAGCCGGCCCATCTTTTTCCTTTTTATGTGTCTATCCTTTACTGTCTGCCCAGACGACACACAGAAAACTCTGCAGTCCTCTGTTTTGTAGCTGGAGGATCAGAAGGATGGCGGCCATCAGCAAGAACACTGCTCTGTAAGTTCTACCTGCATCACCCAGCACAACAGGGCTGTGAGTGTGAGGAGGGACAGACCAGACAGGGCTCCAAAATGGGTGTTG